TGGGAGTGCCTTTAGGCACAAGTTATGCACTAGACATTAACAATGTTGACTTTTGTTTAATATGGGTTCTCATGTCCTAGCAGCCCAACCAATCCCATTGCCAAAAGTCCAAATCTTGCTTTGAAAAAACTCTTTAAAATTTTTGAGTTTGGTCTGTTTTGCGTGAATTTGGAAAGTAAAAATAAAACGTGAGTGAAATATAAATGAAATATCAGTTAATTTTTTTTTTCTTTAATGTTACAGATATTTGATGCGGTTTCAGTACTTCTGGTTGTTTTTCTATTGAATTTGAGCAATGTTGATGCCCAAAAAAGCGCGTGTTTTGGACTACTTTGAGTACTCTGCTATGAGCTGCAGAGCTCATAGCGCCAGCTTAACAGATTTTGGAGCAGTTGGTGATGGAAGCACCTTTAATACAGAGGCATTCAAGGCAACAATAGCTCATCTGAGCCAGTTTGAATCGGACGGTGGATCACAACTCTTTGTACCTCCTGGAAGATGGTTGACTGGCAGCTTCAATCTCACCAGCCATTTCACACTTTATCTCCTGTAAACAGTGGTTAGTAATAGAAGAAATGAGGGTATTTAAAGTGAGGGTGACTGGGGGGACAATTAAATAGAGGGTAGGAATTCATAAGTGGATAATCTTGCAACAAATCCGATATAAATAAAAAAGAACACCAGCGCAAGGGCAAGTTTTTTGGGAATCCTATGCTTCAAGGTTATGTACATATTGTTATTATGGGTCATTTAGTTTTAGGTTATGTACACACTACTATTATGGATCATTTAGTTTTAATCTAATACATTTGATTTCAATTCCATTCTCCACAACTAATTACAAGCACCAAGAACTGGTTTGCAATGTCTACTTGCCATGTAGTATGGTTGTGGTGATAGTGTATGAAGAACACCATTGAGTGTCATTAAAAAAAAAAAAAATGTGGTGATAGTGTATGAAGAGCAGTAGGTATTGGGTTTTGATTGTTGTGAAATAGGATGATGAGTGACTATAAGGTGGGGACGATCAATGATGGTATGCAAGAGTTCTATACCCATCTCTGATTTATTATTTTTATTTTTAATGTGGATTTTCATAGACCTAAAGACAGTAAATCATCTATACCCATTTTTGATTTAAGGTGGATTTTTATTTTTTGAATAAGGGAGAACGATTTTTGAATTTGTCCCAAAATGTATCACAGATACATTTCATTTGAATAGCCAAGATGATTCCTAATCAATATCTAATGTGCAGTGATTTTAGGATTGGATCTATGTTCTTCTTGCTGATTAATTTTTAATTGTTGTTGGTGTTGTGATGATCTGGGTGTTATGAGTGCTCGTTGTTGTTGTTGTTGATTTTAGGATCGGATCTATGTTTTTCTTGCTGATTGATCTTTAATTGTTGTTGGTGTTGTGATGACCTAGGTGTTGTGAGTACATATTGTTGCTGTTGTTGATGAATTATGATGATGTAGAATGATGATGATGCAGATAAGATACATGTATAAGACTTGATCTGTGCAAAGTAAATTTTTGTAGCTAAAATTTGTACAGGCTCTGATCTGTTTTATTGTTAATTTTTTTATTTTTTTTATCTATGTTCTTCTTGTTGATTAATTTTTAATTGTTGTTGGTGTTGTAATGATCTGGGTGTTATGAGTGCTCATTGTTGTTGAAGTTGATTTTAGGATCGGATCTATGTTTTTCTTGCTGATTGATCTTTAATTGTTGTTGGTGTTGTGATGATCTTGGTGTTGTGAGTGCATATTGTTGCTGTTGTTGATGAATTATGATGATGTAGAATGATGATGATGCAGATAAGATACATGTATAAGACTTGATCTGTGCAAAGTAAATTTTTGTAGCTAAAATTTGTACAGGCTCTGATCTGTTTTATTGTTAATTTTTTTGATTTTTTTATGATGATGATGAACATATAGGATTTGGTGATTGTGTTGTTGTCGAAGAACAAATATGGTTTGTTGTTGATGATAATGATCTTGAACAAATGAGTGTGTAAATTTTTCATGGACCCAAAGACAGTAAACAGGATGATGGTGTTCCCTTTGTGGGTTTATGATATTTTACATTGTATTGTTGTGAGACTTAAGTTTGGCATTGAGTTGGATTTTTGTAGTCCTTTAGGGTAAATTTGTTTTTGATGGTTTTTAAATGGGTTTTGAAATGGGTTTCAAAACCCATTTCATTGAACTATTGGTTTGTGTGATTTTTTATTTTTGTTGATTAAGTTTGTGTTTGAGTATGATTTGGATTTGAGTTTGTATTGGAGGAGGTTGGTGTATGATTTACAAGCAATAACCAGTCACTTATTTATAAGCAATAAATCAGAGATGCGTATAGATGGTCCGCAACCTTCATTGGTTTTGCGGCAGCCTAAGTGACTTACAACCTGAGTCACTGTTTGGGTATGATTTACCATAACATTATTTACACCGTGCCTTTAGGCACGGGCATACACTAGCATATATATATATTATAGGTAAGTATTTCAACTTTTGGATGATTTGAATTTTATGTAATTTTGTATAAATTGTATATAATTTTGTATAAATTGTATATAATTGATCTTTATTATTTTATCCAGTTCTTGTGGTTCAATTTAAAAAAATTTAGCTTTATTTTTATTATTTCAATGTTGACGATTTTGATGATATTTAGGCCAAGTTTGGCATCTTTAATAAAGTCAAAAAGTCACTATCCTATTTAAGTCACATCATCTTATTTAAGTCATATCACATATCTACCACATCACTTCAAACCCAACCCATATTTCATAAAAAGTCAAAAAGTGCACTTATTTAGAATATCTCAAACAACCCCTTAGATTTTTTGAAGAATGTATTTCAACTTTTAGATAATTTGAATTTTATGTAAAGTTCTAAGAATTATATAATTTCTCATTATATTTTTAGTGGGTTTTTAATTTATATTATCATGATTTCAATTTTAACTTCACATTACTATTTTCATTAATGTGGTTTTAGATTTTTAACAAAAACTAATTATATTAATATTATCTAAGGGTGGGCGCGGGTCGGTTGCAGCCACGGAACCTCTAATCCGTCATCCGTCCGCTAGATTGGCGAATTGAAGAAAATCAATCCGCATCCGTCTGCCAATCTGGCGAATGTGGATTAAGCGGATTGGCGGATGGAAGCGAATCGGTTTGGCGGTTTAAAATTTTATAAATTTTCAACATAATTCAACTTGTGCACTTCCTCAAAAAAAAAAAAAAAAAAAAAGAGAAAGTATTACAGTCAATGACTTAAAAAAAAAT